TCCTAATAATCCTTAAGCTAGGCCTAGTTTAAGATAAAAGGGTTTTGGAAATCTTAAACTTACCTTCACTTAAGGCCAACCAAAAACCGACAGCGTAGTGTTCACTGTTGGGTGGGTGGTACCCCCAAACGAGTAGGTACTCAAGTTTGGTTCTTGGATCCCGTACGTACGTTTTAACCCTAGCCACCGGGCATCATACCCGCAAGGCCTAACTTATATAGGTATATCTTAGAGTTCTTCTAGATACCTTTTAAATCAACATTAATATGGGTATATCTTAGAGATCTTATAGATACCCTTAACAATACATATTGTTTTCACAATCAATATATTCATTATGATTTAATCATTCATAATTTCCATTTTTAATCAGAACATTTATCAAGATTTAATCATCATAATCATCAATCAATAATCATTACCATAATCATCAATCAACATAATATTCAATGACAATTAGCGGCCTAGTTTCGGGTGTTAACACCCTAACTTACCGTCATGCATCACATAATATTTTTATTTGTTAAAAACATCATTTTATTTCCACAAATCATTTCCATATTGATCATATTTGTTTGATATCAAGAATATGTTTTAAATAAGTTTCTGAGATGCAAAATCGATTAATAGCTACTGTCTTCATAAACTTCTTCGGTGGAATAGGTAGATAATCGATCAATTAATCTATTACTAGTTACTGACTTTAATTAATCGATTAATCGGAGTCTATTAATCCATTAATCACACTCCATTAATCCATTAATCACAATCCATTAATCCATTAATCCATTAATCACAATCTATTAATCCATTAAATCAAATAAATCGATTATTGGCCTAAGAATAATCAGTTAAACAAATAAAATCGATTTTTATTTCATAAATAATCGATTAAAAATCTGATTTCTTGGTACCTCGTCTGAGTGAAGTTTTAGTCGATTTTTAGGAAGAAAATAATCGATTTTTGGCTACTATTCATCATCTTCTTCCTCTGGTCAATTTCGAGTATTATCATTTTTAATCACCAAACTTCAATTAAATTATATATGAATGTTCCCCAATCTTCACAGATCATTTTAGAGTCATTAATTCGTAGTTTTAATAAAAATTTCATGATTTATGATTCTTGGTTCTTCAAACATGTCAAACACAAAACTCAACCAAACGACCGTTTATGAACGTAAAAACGATCTATATGAACATTCTAATCACTAGAAATATCTACGGGCTTACCTCGAAGGTAAATGAAGGTTTTGAAGATTTTCCGGCGAATCTTCCGGTGACGATTACTCCCAACTCCGGCCACTACGGCGGCAACAAACAACACCAGTTTGCTCTCCTTACTCTTGTGAACACATTGATACTTAATTCATAATTTTTGGTGAGGAATGAGAAGGTTGATTGTTGCTTATATAGGAAGAAAATGGGGAAGGTGACAATGTTGCTGCGTAGGATTTGCGTAGGAATGCATCTTCCATCGGCTGAGTGGAGTAGGAGGCGCCGTCCCTGATTGGGACTAATTTTGGTCCCAGTCCGGGTACACTTTTTGTTCCAACTTTCTCCGAATTGAAATCCATTTGCACCGTTGCGATCGTACAATTAAACTCTATCCAACGATATAATTTATACTCCCTCCGTTCACCAAAACAGCTCTTGTTTTGACTTTTGCAGGATTTATTTTTGTAATTTGACTTTCCAATTAAATCATTAGTGTCGAAAAGAAAAGAGAGACAAATCACTTGAATAACTTGTTATATCAATGCAAAATGGATGGAGTATATTGCAATCACTTTATTTGGATATATTAGTCATTTTAATCAAAAAAGGAAAGTGTTTTAGTGAGAGCGAAAAAAATGAGAAAGAGTTTTAGTGAACGGAGGGAGTATATAATTGTAGATATTAACGAATTTTTACTAATATATAATTAAAGATATTAACAAAATTAAACTTGCCTCGGCAAGTGTAGAAAAAGAAATGGGCAAAGTGATTTTGAATGGAGTATATAAATAATTTTTTCATTTACTAAAGACCACTAGTAAATAAAGCCAATTGGCTCTTTAAACTAAAGCAAATTTTTTACTAAAGCAAATGGGCAAATTTTTTTTATTTACTAAAGCAATTTTTTTGGCTTTGGGTATATGATGGAACAAAGCAAATTGGTAGCAGTTAGTCAATGCAAATTGTTGTTTGGTGATAGAATAAAGCAAATTTGCTCTTTAAATTGTCTGCACTTCTTGCAATACTGAAGTAGCAGTTTGTCAATGCAACTTTCGACGCTCATCAGATCATCTAGAAACAACCGCTCTATATTTTAAACATAGGGATCAGACTGCGTACATCCAACCCCCCTACCTAGCCATGGGTAGGAGCCGTTGAGGCACTGGGGTAATGTTGTACTAAAGACCACTAGATATGAGTGGGTGGCTAACCCGAGGGTAGATGAATCATTCTTCCAAACAAACATATCAACCAATCCTAGGGAAATTATTCAATCTCACCAAGCATGAAATAGGAGAAATGGAAGTAAAATAACATATGCTACAAGAATACATTACCGGGTATTGGTTATGAAATGGCACTGTGCATGAGGCCTCGATCCAAAATCTCTGCATGGGGGGATTAGGACGGAGCTCAATATCATAAAGCAATTACAAGCAAATATATTGATATTGAGTCTTAAAAGAACCGCACCCTAAGCATATAAGCAACAACGTACTCCCCCACAAAAGGATACTTTTCAAAGTCAATTTTTCCATCAGCAATCAAATTGAAGAATGGAAGAAATGAAGAACCCTACAAAGAAACAGCAAAAGTGAAAGATTGAGACAAATGGGGTATTTATAAAAATGGTTACTAGTACTTGCTTAGGGAAAATATAGGCACCACCCTCAAAAGGTAGAGTTCAAGGGCCCAAAAAATAAAGACACGGCCTCTTTGATGAATTTAAAGACTCACTTCCCCTACCCATGAATAGGTGGGGAGCGTTTGCATATTCGGGTTTGCTATACCCAAATATAATATATGACACATTTTTTGATGTGGGAAAATACACAATTCATTATTTATGGGACACATCAAGATAAACACTATATTCCATGGGAGAAACTAGACAATTATTTAAAGCCTCTCAGACAACGTTGTAACTCATAGCTTGATGATTCCCAGGTAATGCTCAAGGCCATAGCAGCAACAACAATAACAGCATTATCTTAGCCTTAATTCCAAAATATTTGGAGTCCTGGAAACCATGTTCACTTATGAGAAAAGAGGTACAATACTAGAGATGAGTATATTAAAAGATATTACTACCTCCATATCTTATTTATCTTCCCATCTCTATTTTGGGTCAAAGGAAAAAAACACTAGAAACAAGTGCACACAGGTTTGCTTCTTCATTCATAAGGCTTGTGTTGGTTATGGTGCAAAACAAAAGTGGGAGCATACCAGAAAAATGTAAGAAGTACAAATTATAAATGAAAAAAGATAGGAAAGGAACACAGCTTACAAAAGGTTTACAAATAAACAAAACACATAAAAGGGAAAAAAGACGTAGTATTAGTATTAAATAAAGAAAAGAAAGAGCAATCGAAGATTGCAAGGTCTTTGTGTAAGGCACATGATGTGGCTTTGATCTCTCTAAGAGTCCAATGTATCATCTACTGACATAATGAAAGAATTTCCCGTGCAAATTACTATTCAAACAAGACAAGACAAAAGGATTAATGCAGAATGTTCTCGTCTGCTCTTTTAAATCATTTCCTACTGCCTTCAACTAAAACGACTCAGTTCTACCCCTGCCTCTAACCTTGGCAACAAACTGAATCCCCTGCCGAGTGAAAGCAAGGATTCTCTAGAGTTTACACTCCAAATATTCTCAACTGTACTCAAAGTAGTACATTAGAGGGGAGCTGGCAAATTATCCAACAATAATAAAAGTGGGTGAAATAAGGTAAGATGGGGAAATACAAACAAGGAGGCTGATGACAAATAGAAGCAACAATGAAAAATAAATTGTATGATTGGGGGAAAGAGAGGAGGTACACTTCATTGTCACTGGTCTGAAAGCGCATGTCCACCATTCACACAAATTATAATCCAAAGAAATCTCTCAACGGCAAAAATAGGTAATAGCACCCAAATCAATTTACCTCTAGTTGATTTTTTTTGTTTACAAACAATAAGAGGTGAACCTATACATCCAAAGAGATCCACTAACAGCTCATGGATTGAGGAGACAGCAGAGAAAAAGAGAAACACATAATGTAAAGTGCATAGAGAATGTATGATAGGGATAAACGTGAGTTCAATTTAGGTAACTCGTGTTTGGCCTCTAACAGGAAGGAGGCTCACATCTAGGGGTGTTCATCGGTCTAAGACTGGACCGGACCGGACCGAACCGGACCGAAGACCGAATGAGATCAAATGTAAGACCGAAGACCGGGCCTAAATGTTATCGGTCTTGGACCGGACCGAACCGAAATTTTATGGACCAAATCGGTCCAGACCGATTGGACCGTCCCTAACCCAAGGAACAGGAAAAAAACAATACTCCGTATATAAATCACTTTGCAAAAGAAGAAGAATATATAAAAAAAACCAGACCATAGAAGTGCAGAAATATAAACAAATTAAACAAAATTCTAGGATCCTTTAAAAAGAAGAAGAATCCTTTTAAAAATTTGGAGGTTTATTAATAAGTAAATTGAAAATTACCTGCGTTGTGCCAGTGTTTGAGTCCAAAGAGAGAAAGAGAGACGATAGTGGACTGACAGATGATGGAGAAGGTGGGCATTCAAGGAATGACAAACGACGGAGAGGGAGACAACGATTTGCGCCTGAGATGGACACGACGATTTGCGCAATGAGTGAGATGCGGTGGTGAGGGAGACGATGTTTCAGTCTGTGAGGAGGGTAGATGGCATAGAAGGCGGCGCCGATTCGATTTGCAATTTAGGCGGAGATGGCAGAGAGAGGGACGGCGTTAACGAGAAGAGAAGTGAGGGAGACGGCGATTTGTGGGCTTGTGGCTGTGAGGCGAAGAAAATAAGATAGGGTTACGGGTTTAGTGCCTTGCGCATTACAAATTAGATTACGGAGTAATAGGTTTATATCGGTCCCTCGGTCCAGACCGATTGGTATTCGTTTTTGGACCGGATCGGATCGAAACCCAAAATCAGAAATAATCTGGACCGAAGACCGACCCGATATCATTCCGGTCCGGGTTCGGTCTGGACCTAATCATGAACACCCCACTCACATCCTCATCCCAGCTGGGTTAGACTTGATCCCCCCCCACCCCCACCACCACACAAGCATGGATGAAACAAAGAGACCAAAGGATCAGGTACTAATCCCTTTTGTCTTATCAAAAACCTCTTTTGTCTTATCAAGTATTTCATTCCACAAGTCATTCAATTGCTCAGTCATCTCAGCAGACATACCAAAACAGTAGTAATCCTCCTGTCAAAACATATAGAACAAAGATGGTTATAGAATAAACGATTGACTTTGATTTTATCTAAGGCCAGTTAAACTTTATCAACATTTTTGTGCTGTTACCAGCTTTTCTCAGAAATGTATCCCAGAGCAAAGAAACTCAAGAGATTCAAATATATTAAGTAATAAAAGAACATTCAGAAAAAAGGACCTTATCAAAAAGTAGGCCAACTATGGCGGCTGCAGAAATCAGAGCGTGGAATAAGGCACGACCTTTGGTACTGTGATTAGCAAATCTCTTCATACCTGCGTATATATGCTCCAAACAGTGATGTACCTTTTTTGCACGTGCATAGCCTTCAAATTCATTCTCCCTAACAGGAGTCCCCTCCTCCTCCTCAGTTAGCTGTCCAACAAAGATTGTAAATTTGGAAGCAACAGTTGAGTGAACTTTAAAAAAATCCTAACTTTATAGTAAAAAAAAGTGATTAGCCAGCAAGTTTACAGTATACTCGAACTCAGAGCCACAACTGCTCAAGCTCTCCAGGTCAGATGGGGATTCACTCTTCTCCTTCTCCTCAGCACCTATCTACATATCACAAGCATCCTGGGTCGTGGAGGATCGGGTTTCATCATCAGAAACCTCAGATGCCAGCATCGCCCTGGGGGATTCACTCTTCTCCTTCTCATCACATACCTCCACATCACCAGCAGCCTGGGTCGGGGCAGATCGGATTTCATCAAACTCAGGCATATCCCCCTCTGATGACGGCAAATTAGAAACACCCCAGCCATCCTTATGAGACAACTCCTGGCTCTCGGATTCCAATTCAAAAATCTGCAACGATACTTTACCAATATCTGACCAAAACCTCTTCGAGAGCTTTCGCCGCTTCATTACAGACATATCCTTCTCTAATTCACAAACCCTCTTCTTCAAGTTTGAAAGAGTCTTCGAGCGACTCTTCCTTGGTGGTCGCTCCAGGTATTCGTCTTCATTGAACGCCTGCACATCTCATGAAGATGACTCGCCTAGGCCGCCTGATAAAGGAAAATTAGAAACACCACTTGATGAACTCTTGTCTTCCTCATGTGACCGTGGCTCCAGAAGATGTATCTCCCTCTCTATTTCCAAAAGCTTCTTAGACAGAGTCTTCAACCGACTGCTCCATGGTGGTGGCTCCATGGAAGCAAACCCCTTGTGTTGATAGCTTTTATACGGTAAATTAGGCCAGGCAACAAAAAACAAATCAAAGAGGAGAAAATTTACCTAAATAGAACTAAAATATAATGACTTTCTCAATATAGGACCATATGTTTTTATTTCCTAATGTAGGACCTTTGGTCATTATCAAATAGTCATTATTCAACTAAATGTCTATTGGACATTATTCCTTCCACTAGATCATTATTAAGTCCTATTTAGAGAATAAAAAAGTTTAAGTCCTAAATTAGGAAAGTCATTATGTTTTAGTCATATTTAGTGCAAATTTCACATGAAAGATTGGAAGAAGCATGTGGGCCTTGAGCCGTGGGAAGTAATTATGCAAGTGCAAGTATCGGGTACAGGCTTTACTCTTTGCCACTAATCTGTGTTTAAAATCTAATTTACCTCCACCATTCGCTCGGGTCTGAAGGGATCCTCGGGGATGAAGCTCATCCTTTTTTTTAAAAAATTCAACACTTGTTCCCTACCATAAAAAAACATTTTATTCCCCCCTCCTACAACTTTAGCTTTTATAGAAACAACACATAAATACTTTTTCATATTTTAAAATCCACATAAGGGGTGAACCCAAAAAATTAAAATCGAGGGTATCCTTTGTACCTAGTATAAGAGCATCCACAATGGGAATTCTTCCATAGAGGGCTTAAAAAACACTTGCTTCCCAAGAATAATTTTTTCTTTTAATTTTAGAGAACAAAAAATAAAAATATTTAATTTGAGCCAGATGGAGTATGTGTTAATTTTTTATATATTTCAAACACAATCAATTTTGAATTTTTAGAACATAATATGCCATAATTTTAAAAAAATAAAAAACTTTTTAAACAAAACAAAGAGAAAAAAGAAATAAATTTATAAAATTTAACATATTAATATTTTATGCTAGGTTTATACACCTCGATTCATGTGACATTGCCTGGTAATGTCATAGCATGACCTGTGACACCTACGATGCTTCAATATAAAATTGATGGTTCCTATCCCCTAACCCACCCCCACCCCCTTCAATTGCACCCTCCAAATTTATTTGACTTTGTTGTCAAAATTTTGAATCCAAAGTCAAATAAACTTGGAGGTGCAATTGAAGGGGGTGGGGGGCTAGGTTTGGTTCGGGGCGGGGTAGGGGATTCACTGGGACGGTTAGGGTGGGTAAGAACCGTCAATTTTACGTCAATTTTAGGGTAGGGAAACCGCACCCAGTTTTATAACACTCAAGAACATTTATTTTGCGAAAAAACAAATGTTTTTATAATAAATTACGATATTACTTTATTTTTGTATTATCTTGTAGAATTAATTAGGGTAACAATGATTATGAATATAATAATAATGTTGGAATAGGCTTTCACATTGGCATTTTGCTAATGACAATTTTTTTAATATAAGTTTTGATATTGACAAACGGCCACAAATATGGAACAATATGAAAACATTCCAAGGCGTTACGCAAGAATCCTTTAAATGAACAAAAAGCACAAGAAAGGCGCGGAAGTTTTGAAGACATGCCTTGCATTAAAAGTCATGCCTTATATCGCACAATCTCATTCATTTTATTTCATCTTATTGCAGACACACATTTATAACTATTGGTTTGACATCTATGGGTGTTTGCACTACAGGTTCGAAAATATTTTATTTATCGAGTGACTTGAACTCGACCTTTAGAGTCTTGACATTTTGGCAAATCATTTATTTATTATCTACATGTACTCTTCTTTGAGTTTTAGGTATGTAATCTCTTTTATTGATTACATCCATTGCCATAGCATATGCAAGAATATCATTAACACGTGTTTCATTTTGATTCCATATTGTACAGTCTCGTACATAATTAATAAAGATCTCATTTTCATTCGGTACCGATATTTCTTCTAGAATTATACTAGTCTCTTCCAAGACATTTACCTCTTCTGGGGTTTCATTTTCTTCTAGAATAGTATTAGTCTTCTTCTGAGACAGTTACCTCTTTTGGGGTTTCACTCATAATCATGTATGTGGTTTCACTAATAGCATTTTTGCTATTTTCATTTTCGTGCGTTCTTATCTTTGAAATCGATTATTCTCCCACATTGATGGTTCAATAGTCACTTATAGAACTACCTTAAATTGAGCGATGCATATGATGCTGTTATATCTAACTTTGTCACTCTCCTCGTATATGTGAATGCATCTTGTTAGAATAAAGGACCAACGCTAGAGGGGGGTGAATAGCGTTTGATCAATAAAATCGCAGGAATTAAAATTTTAAAGGAATATAAAGCGGAAATAAAATAGAGAAGAAGGCACACCAAGATTTATACTGGTTCACCACAACGTGTGGCTAATCCAGTCTCCCGAGAGACTCTCTCGAGCTACGCTACTACCTTGTTAAGCTTAACGGTGCTCAACGAAACCTTACAACTTGAGAGTTCGAGTCACACGAACCTCAACGCTATCCTCAAAGGAAACAGCCCTTCCTTTGAACAATGAGAGAAGACTCTTCTCTCCAAGTGTCTAAGAACACTAACAAATACTCAAGAACAGGACTCTCTTATTGTAACACCCTAATCCGTCCAGGTTTGCAGCCCTTTTCGGACTAAAGTATTAACTTGGTAATCGTAACAATTTAAAACTTTTTCAAACACTTTTTATTTATCACAATAATATTTTTCATAACAGATACAGTACAGAGTATTCAAAAATATTGCGGAAGCGAATTTAATATTGACATATCATAAATCATTTCAAACTTGTCACATCCATCCCGACAATCTCGCCCCATCTGCCACCAGGATCACATTAATCTTTCTGTTTACCTGCGTGTAGCAAATAAAACACACTACACGCTCAGCGGTAAAGCTGAGTAAGCATATCTAATGCGTCGAACATCCATATAAATTGAATCTAAATTCATAATCAAATCATCTGAGATCATGCACACAATGTTGATTTCAGACATTCACAGTTTTGAAAATGTTTAGTTCATATCAACACATTTTATTCAATTTAGATATTATTCCGACAGTGCCCTTAAATTATTCTTAATCTAAGGCCAAATAATAACAATGCTCTTAGCTATTCTTAGTCTAAGGCCATATCATAAATATGCTCTTAGCTATTCTTAGTCTAAGGTCAGATCATAATAATGCTCTTAAAAAAAGCAATTAATTATCAGACACTTAAACTATCATTAGTTTAAGGCAATCGATTTCGGACACTTAACTGTAGTCAGTTAAGGCAATCAGACACTTAAACTATCACTAGTTTAAGGCAAATGATTCAGACACTTAACTGTAGTCAGTTAAGGCAACAACAACAATATAGCAATTGATCAACATTGGATCGAGCATTCCCAAACGAGTAATCCTCTAGCTTGGTCTACGAATCCTGTTTATATGTTTTTATCTAATTCATCGAATATTCATGTTTCACAAATCCATACTAATATGAGATCTATTCTAGAGGTCTTTTAGATAGCCTTAACATCAATTCTCTAAATGTGTATATCTTAGAGTTCCTCTAGATATTTTTAACACTATAAATCATTTCATAATTATAATTGTATTCATTTTATTCATGATTCAATCATAAATACTTATTTTAATCAGTAGGTTCATTACTGATAATCATCCATAATATTCATTTATCATAATCATCAATTAACATAACAATTGATAACAAATAGCGGCCTAGCTTCGAGTGTTAACACCCGAACTTACCGTCATGCAACACATAACATTTTTAGTTGTTAAAACATAATTTTTATTGTGGTAAATCATTTTTATAATGATCCTAATCAATTGGTATCAAAAATAGGATTTTAGAGCTCCAAAAATAGCATTTTCAGACAAATTTTTGGATCAGGTCTTTGGGGGATCGATCCAGCCCTCTAGATCGATCCATACTATGAAAAATCACTCCCAGGGGATCGATCGAAGCCCCTGGATCGATCCAGACAGTGGTGTTTCAGCCACTGTTCATCTTCCTCTTCGTTCGGGTCCAATTTCGGAAATACCGTTTTTAGTTATCGAACTTCAACGAAACTATATAGAGATGTTCTCCAAGGTTCATAGTTCATTTTGGCATCATTAATTCATAGTTTTAACATCAATTCCATGGTTTATGATTCTTGGTTCTTCAAGCATGTCAAACACAAAACTCAACCAAATGAGCATTTATGAACGTAGAAACGATCTATACGAACATTCTAGTCATTAGATATATCTACGGGCTTACCTCGAAGGTAAATGAAGGTTTTGAATATTTTCCAGCGAAACTTCCGGCAACGATTACTCCCAACTCCGGCGACTTCGGCGGCAACCAACAACAGCAGTTCACTCTCCTCACTCTCAGGATTCTAATGAACTAATTTGCAGAGGGAATGGTATAGTATTGGGGAAAATGAGTTCTCTCTTAAATAGGGGTTGATGAGGGAATGAGGACAATGCTGAGCTGCTTTTGCGTAGGAAATTGATTCGTAATCAATGAGTGGGGGAGGAGGCGCCGTTCGCACAGTGTCCCTGATTGGGACCAATTTTGGTTCCAGTTGGGGTACACTTTTTGGTTCAACTTTCTCCGAATTGAATTCCGTTTGCACCGTTGTGATCGGGCAGTTAAACTCTATCTATTCATATAATTTTTATATTTATTTGTAATACTTTTTCCGACATCATATTTTTTAGGTGTTTGACTTTGACAGAGTCAAAATTGATTTAGTTGATCTTTATTCAAAAAGGTTTCTCACATTTAATTCATATAATTTGTTCTAATGATTTATTTCAATAAATCATTTCAAAGTTCACATCATAATAATTTCTTCATATATTCTTGATTTGGGTCTGTACACAGGTTCCCAATCAAGATCACATAATTAGTCAATATTTTGGATTTATCTCTATGAGACTTATCCTGATTGTAATATTCAATATTCAAACATATTTCATTTTGGCCCAAAGCCCAAC